CATGAATGCAAGATCTCGTGTTAATGTGATGGCAACATGAATGCCAAAGATGTTCGAGATTCCACTCTTTGATGGGAAAACTAATTTTACGTTGTGGCAGTTTGTGGTAGACTACAATTAAGACAATGCATCAAGGTCTTAATGAACCACCAGAGGAGGAGAAGTCTGCCTCCATGACCGACCCAAACCGATTATAACATATATCCAAAAGAGACCCGAATCGAAAAGATCGGAACCGGAACAGAACCGATTGACCCGATTTCCCGGTCTAGTTATACCTATTCCCATATCTTTAATGTATTACATGCATATTATTATTTGTTAGTGGATTGCAAATTTTCGGATTGCAAATTTTCTACGTATGTGTGAGTAATGCCAGTTGTGTTTCTTTGTTTTTTTCCATTTCTAATTTATTAAATGTAGAGTTTTAAATTTCTTTTAACTTATGTTGGCAAATCTTTGCAAGTTGATTGATTATCATATTTAGTTATTAATTGTTTGAAAGTGCATATGACTATGTGATAACACCATAAGTGTCATTAACCCTTTTGTTACAAGTTGTAACAACTTAGTAATACTATGAAGTCGTGTTTTATGTCTTAGAACATACGGTTGAATTTGTGAACTAGATAATTTTGTAACAATTGGTGTAGCGTATTTAAAGGTACATTGAGTTATATTGTGAATTTAATATCATTAGATTTTTTATCTATCTCAAATTATGGGGACAATGAAAGTTAAAGATAGAACTTAGTTTTGGGATACACGGAGTATGTAGTATTTTAGCCTTTTATTTTCAACAATTATAGACACAGATTGGGCCACAATTTTTAGGGCAGAATACTTGAACGTATATGAATTCTTGTGTTTTAATTCAACGCGTTTATATCCAAAAATCTGACCTTGTCATTGATTTGAATGTATTATTGACCAAATGTATTGTTCACTGTTTGATACTTGACCCGCAGTTTACTAAATAGTGTGGGAGTGTTTGCTTTGTCCATCGACACATATATTTGTTACAGAGAACTACTAGAAATTTTAATCTTTGCTGCAATATGCTTCCTGTTTTGGTTCGCGATTACTGATTGCAATTATTTTCAATTATTATTTTTTAAGTTGGTGTATAATTTAAATATACAAATTAATATATTTATAAACTACTTGAAACTTTCTACAAAACATGATGCAGTTTGACAATTTCACTGTATCAAATAAGCAATGGAAATATATAAGGAAAGAAGATCTGATTTTACCATGTGAATAGTAACTAGGAAGATTTTAGTGGAACTGAGGGAGTAGATAAGACAATACGTAATGAAGTCTCTTAGTGTGGTTGTGTTGTGCAGTTCAAGACTTCGAGTAAAGAACATGTATAGAATATTGCTTTAACTGGAAGTTGATTTTCAAATTGTTTCATTGAATGAATATAATCACTTGGTTGGGGCATGCAGACATGAGCTCAATCCACATTTCGCTCTTCGTTTATCTTTAATGATGTTTTTCTTCTTGTTCATGTTTTGTGTTAAGAAGCTTAATATACTGATTCAGGAATTGAAGCTGCTACATTGTCACATTATGCGTGTGAGACTGTGAGGTGTGATAAATTAAAAGTAGCTACTTCTTTCTTTGAAATCGTCTCTAGCCTTTGGATTTAATATTTCATGTTAAGTCTCAACGAACTGACAAATTATTAGGTTTTTTTTGTTGATGCTTTTAAAAAAACTTCCGAAGTTTCAATAGTTTTCTTGGATACCTAGACTACACTAGGTTTAAATGTTTTCATGGATGCCTATACTAAGTGTAAATGTTTTCATAGATTCCTATACTAAGTTTAAATGTTTTCATAGATGCATAGACTAGGTTTAAAGGTTCAAGGAATTAGCACAATGCCTAGATCAGGTTTAAATGTTTTCATGGATGCATATACTACTTTCATTATTTCATGGATGACAAAGAATGGATCCGTGTGCTTGTGTTTCCGGTGCTTCTCGCTAGACACAAGCAGGATCAACACATTATTAGGTGCAACACACACTAATTGATGATCCATATGTTGCTATCTCAGGTGTAACATACAGTATGTCTTTGGAGATACCATTTGATAACAAAAATCTTAAAATTCCAGCCCTAGTTTTACCAAGCTGTAATCAGTAGCATGCCTTCCGTTGCAGGTTCAATCATTTAGATCTCGGGATGAAGTGGACATTTGGCTTTTCAATAATGCTATGCAATGCCCTGGAGCTCTTCATTTTGTTGAAAGAAGTGCCAGTGTAATTAGTTATGGTCTACAGACCAATTCTACTCCAGTGGCTAAACGAGGGATTTTTGAAGATCCCACATTCAAGTTCCAAATCCCCCTCCAACTTGCAGCAGAGCGTGAAATTGCACGATCTCTGATTGGAGGTATGGGAGTGGTCAATAGTTGTACTTGCCATCTGATTGAAACATGTATACTTAATAATATTGTTTTCTTTCATATCATAATGGAACTTCTATGGCCATTATGTTGTTAGATCCAAACTTCAGCTGGTTTGTCACTATCAGGGAATTTGCACATCCTGCAGTTGGAACGTTTTCTGCTATTGGTGCAGCTGGACCAACATTTTTCCTGGCAATTGCCATGTTCTCTTTTGTTTTCCAAATCAGTGCTTTAGTCATGGAGAAAGAACTTAAACTCCGACAGGTCTCGCATACTTTGAGTTCTCCAATCACGAAAACTTTTTCCTTCATTTTCTGGAAGTGTGCTCACATTTTTCAATTCATATCTGGTTACAGGCTATGACCATGATGGGTCTCTATGACACTTCATATTGGTTATCATGGCTCACATGGGAGAGCATTATGACACTACTATCAACACTTACAATATTATTATTTGGGATGATGTTTCAGTTCAATTTTTTCTTGAACAACAGTTTTGCAGTTCTATTCATGCTGTTTTTTCTTTTCCAGTTCAATATGGTGCGTTTCACATGCCAGTTCAAATTCTTCACACCATTAAATTTGCTTATTTTCTGTAGTATTAACACTACAAAAAGAACTAATATTGTATTTTACTGCTAATATATGATATATCATATTTGCTGGTAGCCAGATTGGGCTTGCATTCTTGCTGTCTGCTTTTATTACCAAGTCATCTTCCTCAACAACTGTGGGATTTTCGACTTACATTGTTGGTTCCTTGACTCAGGCAAGGATCTGTTTTCATTTATTAGCAACTATCCAATAATTAATGTTTCATGATGATAACTGATTTCTCTTTATTTTGTTTCTTTTCCATTTTCCCACACAGATTGTAACAGCATTTGGATTTCCATACAGCGAGACATTCCCTAAAATTTACCGGATCATTTGGTCATTTTTTCCACCAAATCTTTTTAGTCAAGGTATTAAGCTGGCTGCGGATGCAACTTCTAATCCCGAAGATCCTGGTGTTAGCTGGAATAGAAGAGCAAAGTGTGCTCCAAATGATAATGAGTGTCTAATAACCATTGTAGGTAGACCTTTTTGCTACTTCAGCAATGCACTTTTTTATTTTATTTTATTTTAATTTATTTTATTTTGTTTTATGGGAGCTTTGTAATTGGTAAGTTCGTAGTTCAACAATCTATCTCTGAATTCAGTCTGCATTGATTTTCAGAGTGAGAGAGAGAGAGAGAGAGAACTCAGAGAAGCTTTCCCTTTTCTGAGAGAAGCAGATAATAGGGTAGAAAGAGTATAAGAAAATATCCTAATGTAAATTAGAACAAGGTCTCCAAGAGATGAAAACGATTTCAAAGTTTTCTTATATTCAAAATAATACGATCTTGCTCTATTGAAAGTAGAGAATCAAGATGAGGTTACTTCTGAAAGCAATACAATAGGAATTATGGGGATGTGGATAGGTACTGAAGGTGGACTCGGTAAATTGAGTTCTTAGCTATGATTTCTCAGATTCTCAGATCTGAAAAAAGGAGCAGAAAAATCAATTGAACAATTAGAAGGAAGAAGGAACTCTTTTTATTGAAAGCAGGAACTCTTTAATTTCTTTATTCCATAATAATGTATATAACTTTAGGTTTTTAGAGGCATACACTCATAACGCAATAAGACAACCTTTAATCGAGTCATACCAAATAATTAGTTGCTAGAAGGACATGAAATTGGGCGTATAAAGCCAGCTTCTAGTATATTAGCAGTTTGGTTTTCAATTTTGGTTTTTTCGGTGTTGACTATCTGTAGGGGCGAATGTTGGGTGGTTTGGAAGTGGGATAAGAGGGATGTGGTTTATATCGTTTCAGAATGGAGGTTAGGTGATAGGTTCTTGAAAAATAGAATCATATTCAGTAAGGATGTCTGTATAGGGATTGTTTCAAGAGAAGGGGTTATGAAAATGTTTTGTTGGGTGTATGATCTAGACTTTTTAAGTGGAATACTTTGTAGTTTATATTGCTGCTCATTCCACGTGAAGGTGAGAAACACATTGTTCCAATTGGCTCGTTCCACGTGAAGGTCAGACCTGCTATGTTATATGGGGCAGAGTGTTGGGCGGTTAAGAAGACTCATGTGCGTCGTCTGCATGTGGCGGAGATGCGGATGTTACGATGGATGTGTGGGAAGACAAGGTTGGATAGGGTTTCAAACAAAGTTATCCGACGTCAGGTAGGCATGGCACCTGTGGAAGATAAGTTGCGGGAAGCGAGGTTGAGATGGTTTGGCCATGTGAGACGGCGGGATCCTGACGCCCCTGTACGGAGATGCGAGAGGATTACAGTTATCGGGGGAAGTAGGGGAAGGGGTGGACCTAGGAAGAATTGGAAGGAGGTGATTAGGCAGGATTTAGGACTTCTCGACCTGACTGAGGATATGGCCCTAGATAGGAACCTTTGGAAAACTAGAATTAGAGTAGCTGGATAGGAGCTTGGTGTTGTAGAGGTTGTTTTGTAGTGTGTTGTATTCGTTTGGAATCTTCTGCTATTGCTTGTACTTGGTGCTTTATCTGTGTTATACTGTGTTCCCTTCCATATTTTTGTGCAGGTGGAGCCGGGGGTCTCTTGGAAACAGCCTCCCTACTTCCGAGTAGGGGCAAGGTCTATGTACACACACCCTCCCCAGACCCCACAACCTGGGTTGTTGTTGTTGTTGGCTCGTAATGTGTTCAGGGAAGCCAACCACTGTATCTTAACACAAAATCAGCTCTATCAAGAGGGAATGTATAAAAGCTCTATTGTATTGTGAACCAATCTTGAACTTGTACTTCAATAAATGAACATAGCATACAACAACGGATGATGTCCCCTTTCCCAATCTGCATACTAAATGGAGGGACAATATTGGTAGGTAGCTTGACCTCATCAACCACAGTATCAACTGTCGGTAAGGATAAGTACTTCTCAGGATCCCATCTTACCTTGCAACTTCTTGGTGGTAATATTTGTTTTACTCAGAACAATGTGAAACTAATACTTGTGGAAATTATGTCTGAATCGTTTTCTGGGCAAGATTTCCATCCGTTGCCGCTTTCTTCAACTTCATCATTTGTCAATACCAGGATTGCTTAATGCCCAGGATTGCACCAATGGCCTGGACTGTATTTGAACTTGCAGCTAAAACAAAGTCCTTGTGTAATTCAGGATTGTTTCTCGGTCTCCTAATTGTGGCTGAAATTCACTCTTGCTGATAGAATATTAGTGGGCATCAACTTCTTTGGCATAAGATTTGGTTGTGGAGGAAAGAGTGAGGTTTGGCAATTTCTCTCGGACCCCAGCTTGGGTTCAAATTCCAAAGCCAAGCTCATGGCTTTGTAGACTTTTTGGGGTTTGTGAATTCTGATATCTTCCTTCAACTAATCTTTCAGCCCATTGATGAACAAGGCCAATAAACAATGATATGGCCAATTGGATACTTGAGCAGAATGCTTCACAAATTCGTGGCAATATTCATGAAATTTGTATAGATTTCAGAACTATTCTGGGATATAGTTTTCATGTATAGCTTGCACCCATGACCTCCTCCCATTATTCAATATTTCGCTTGGAACTTAACCACGAAAACAAGTCAAGTGCGTCTCCCTTAAGGTACATGGTAGCCACATCAACTTTAACATCTTCTGGGTGACTGGGTTTGATAATAGTGGAAATAATTTTCTGGATTGAGGACCCATCAACGAGGAAAACTACCTTCAGACGTAGGAAACTCCATATGTGTGAAAGGACAATGAAAAGAATTCCTACACCAAAAGCATGGATCGTCTCCTTCTTCATCACTAGGTGACCAGCTAGCAGCCTAGGACATCTCAGATTTGGAATTGGGTGTACTATTTCTATCCCCTTTCCATTCAAATCTTCAAGATGATAGGAAGCTGAAGTTTGATGAAAACTGGTTTGAGCATTACGGGCAGCTACCTTATCCCAAGTTTAATTGGGTAGCAGTGGCAGCCAAGTGGGTGGTAACAAGATTGGTGGGGTTTGTGGTAGTGAGTGAGAAAGGTCTAGTCTTTTGGGTTTCTGTTTAGGGAACATGTGTGTTTTGGGAATTGGGATTGGACCATGGTGGATCAGAACCAAGGTGATAGTAATAGGTTAACATGAACAATAAGATTATAGTCCAATTCGATATGGATAAGGTCTCCTGGGTATAATACTGGTTTCAAAGTTTTTATATATTCAAAATAAGATATTCCTAGTCTATTTAAAGAATGTGGTTACAACGGAAAGTAATAAAATTGGAAATAGTGGGAAAGTGTATACCAATTGAAGAAAAGGTGGACTCAGTAAATTCACTAAGTTGAGAACCTATTCTTTAGGGAAAGCAAGAAAGTGGACCTATTGTTTAGGGAAAGCAATGAAGTAGCTAAAGCTAGTCTTCAATTACGTTTTTTCCTAGAGTAGACTTTCAAAGGTTTATTCTTAGTAGGACTCTTATCATTCCCTATATCTTCGTCTCTCCGAAACCAAACCCTTAGGGCCATTGTGGTTGCTACCCTAGGTCTCACTCTCACTTTGGACTTCTCCTGCCTCTGTTTGTTTCAGGCATTTCCTCTTCTCCAAGCACTCATGGTTCTCTTCTTCCCTTCACTGCTTCTCTCAGTTGTCTGACTTGGAGTCGTTTTTGCTCTTTCTCAGTGCCTTTGTATCCTTCACTTTTGTCTTGCTTCCCCTGAGTTTCAATGCTTTTGAAAAAGCCACCACTATGTTGGTCAGACTTTGGGTTCCGAATCTCCACTGCACACTAGCCATTAACCGCCACGGTGAGCTCTACTTCATGCCTGCCGTTGACCTGATGCCAACTCTACCACCGTTGGAGCCACCACCAAGAGGTTACTTGAATGACCCTGCCTCCCTTCTGATTCCCTTGCTTAAGAACTGGGGCTGAAGTGTCCTTTACCAAAACCAGCATGGAGATGTTATGGGTTGTTTTTTAAAGACTCTTGCTTTCAAATCATGTCATGTGTTCTTCCTGGTGTGGGTATGGATTTTCTGCTTTGGTGTCTGTCTTTTATTGCAATATGTTCTGTAGTTTGGTTCTGTTAAAATTTGTAACCATGGTACGGTGTCCGATGAATATACCCAAGAGTGCTTGGCATACACCAAGAGAGCAAAGAACATGAAATCCCCAAAGGTCTATTCATCGGACAGCATTCCATGGTGTCATGGGCACTCTAGGGTCTATTCATCATGGTCCACAAATATACTATCTATCCAGTAAATGGAGAAACATACACCAAGAATGCAAAGAACATGAAATCCCCAAAGGAATTACCCAGCCAGAAAACATGCTTGACAGCCTAAGACTGCTCATCTTTAAGGATTCTTAAATTGCATTAATCTCTCAAGTCTCAATACCACATATGCTAAAGGAAATCCTTAAATACTCTCTCCATCTTGGTGTTTTCATCCAGTTTCTTTATGGCACACATACCAAGAGAAGGAAAGAAGTAGAGGGAAATGTCTAAAATACCCTCATTATCCAAAACAAGGGCACATAGAATTGAAATTATCAAGATTAGAAGTTTGGATTTTCCTCTGTCTCTTTCTTTGAAACCCCTGACGTCTCCCTTCGTTGACGGGGTTCGTCGCCATCGTCCTTGCAAAAATTACAAAAATCGACAGCACACTATTTCATGAAATTGGTGGTGTTCTATCATTGACATACTCGGTAACATAAAAATGGATCTTGCTGCTGCCTTCTTCATCGTTGTCATCGTCACTTTTTTTCTTTGATTTGTAGAGATGGATCTCGTTAGAGTAAAGAGATCTTGCGTGAGGGAGATCTGAGCAGGAGAGCAGACGGAGATCTTAAAAGAAACAAAAATTACTCCAAATTGATATCGTCTTTTAATTTCTTTGTAGCTGGCATCAACACTTCTTTTGTTGCCGGCGTAGTGGTCTTCTTCGTTTGTATAATTACTCCACGTTTAGTTAGTCCTGGTTAGGGTCAAGATCTCTTTCTTCCATATCAAGTTCTTTGTCGCCAGGTGCTTTGATGGGAGTAAGTACTTGTACACCAACAACCCAGTAGAATCTGACAGAAGTAGGGTCTGGGGAGGGCATGTGGGTGCAAACCTGACCCCTACTTGAAAGTAGAGAGGCGGAGTGAGTAGTTGTATGAGAAAAAAGAAGTAATTAAAATTTAAGTGAAGGGTAAAAGAGATAATTCAGTATTACTAAAAAAGGAATGTGGACCAGAACCGTGGGACGACCCAAAAAAGAAATGTACACAAAAACAGTGGGATGGAAGGAGTATAATCTAGCACAATGTGCAAAAAAATTGAGATAATAAATTGATTAAAGAATTGTAGGAGTGAATATACAAGTCTCTAATTTCCAGCACCAATCTGAGCCCTGAAATCTATATTTGCTTGACAGTCTTTATTTTGCTAGAGTCCCTTAATTTTATCTGTCTCTATCATGTTGTATGTAAAATGTGGATGGTAAAGGCCCAAGCACTGACTGTTCAATGTGTTTGTGTCTTTCTCGCCTTTGGCTTATCACTTATGAATGAGATTATTTACTGTGAAAAAGAGGTCAACTACAAAATTTTGATCAGCTGAGACGAAGGGGGTAAGAATAACCTGAAGTGGAAGAGCTGCATGAATGCCGGATTCTTGTTTTCATTTAGCTTAATTTTACTAAGCTTACATATTCCATCAATTTCTACACGTAATGTTTTAGTCTGATTTTGTTTTCTCAACAGAATGACATTTATATATGGCTCATGTCAACATGCTTTCTGTGGTTTGTTCTTGCAATCTACTTGGACAACATAGTTCCGAATTCATCTGGCGTGAGAAAATCAATTTTCTACTTCTTGATTCCTGGTTACTGGACAGGAAAAGGTGGAGATAATGTATCTGGTAACTGGCTTCCGAGCTATTGTTTTTAATTTATTTGCTCTCTTGGAAAATCTCAGTGACCCAAAGACTTTGAAAACATATGTTCTTATTCAGAGGGCAGTATCTGTAATTGTACCGGTGCAATTCCGGAATCAGAAAGTAGTGTTCCAGATGATGAGGATGTTCTTGAAGAAGAAAACACAGTGAAACAACAAGCAAATGAACGCAAAATTGATTCTACAGTAGCAGTTCAGTTATGTGGCCTTGTGAAGATGTATCCAAGTTCAAGGAACATTAGCTGTTGTAATTGCAAAATGAACTCACCTTATCATGCTCTGAAGGTACAATAAGGTTTCTTTATTAATACATATCTAGTTAGTCCAATGGGACTACATTAAAACTAAATAGTCCTCTTTTTACGTGTTTGACAAAGTTTGTGGATTAGAAAATGTCCAGTTCTTAACGTACTTAAGCCAATAACCCATGAAATAAGTTGGACTTCATTATGTATTGTTTTTTAACCAATCAGTTACTAAATAATGGGGCAAAAGGAACCTGTCACCATTTGTGCTCCGATTGAGTAATATACATGCTAACAATATACTAGCCGGCTTGAAAGGGACCATTTTTTACTCCCTCCTGCCATACTTGTCTGTCTACTACTCTACTTCACCAAAATTACACATATTAAGGAAGTAGCATACATTGTATAAATCAATTACAACTTATCTGATAGTATAGTACCAAGGATACCCTTATTTATGAACTCACTATGCATTTAATACTGTGTTTTAAACCATCTTTTCATGTTTTCTAATGCGCATCATATTTAATTGACTGCAAGTCCAAATAAATCCTGCATAAATTCATTAAGGGTAAAACAAGAAAAATGTAATAAATGCTGCACAAATTCTTTCAAGTGAGAGATAATAAAAATGATTACCAAAGCCCTCAAAAAGTAGACAACTAACTAAATAGGGCAGGGGGAGAAACACACAACATTTGATGCATTTGCTACTCTTTACATATTTCACCATGTCAATTGGCTAAAGTCCAAATTGTATGTACAAATTCTGGGAAATCCTGTGATCATGGCTAGAACTAATGTACAGAGGTGGTAGTGTGCTTCTTTACAAGTAAAACACGCTCATGCAAAAAGTTCACATTTTTGTAGAATTGTTGTACATTTTTTGCAATAACTAATTATAAGATTTCAACTTTATGTTCTCCTGTGGTCTAGCCCACCAAGTATATTGTTAGTTTTTGAAATAGATTGTATTTATACATCCCGAGAAACCGTATGACATGGGGTGTATGCAGGGCTTGTGGGTAAATTTTGCCAAGGATCAGCTGTTTTGTCTTCTTGGGCCCAATGGGGCTGGAAAAACTACTATTATAAATTGTTTGACTGGGATAACACCTGTTACTGATGGCGATGGTAGTTTCTTTCCTTACTAAGTTCTTGTTTAGTATGAACTACTACTGAACATATGACTATTCATTTTAATTTTACAGCATTAATATATGGATGCTCAATCCGCAGCTCAACTGGCATGTCAAAGATTCGACAGATGATTGGTGTTTGTCCACAAGTAAGTCTATTTTCACAATTTCTCTCTTGCGTTTTTAGCAACTGAATGACTCTATAGTCCCTATGTGATGACCATCTTTCCATTTTTACAGTTTGATATTCTCTGGGATGAGTTGTCAGGACAGGAGCACCTCCAACTCTTTGCCACCATTAAAGGTTTATCACCTGCTTCCATAAAATCGGTGCGTTACTATTGCTAAAAGAAACCAGTACTGCGACTCATTGCCAACAACTTAATCCTTAAAAGAACCCAACTACTTGGGGTCGGTGACATGAAATGTAGTGCCAATTACTCTGTAATTTAACAACCTACTGATGTTTCACAAGTGGGGTCTAGGGAGGGTAGGAGTAGACAGACCTTACCTTACCTACAGAGGGTGCAATGTAATTTAGTTAACTCTAAATTCATGAAAAAAAGACAGCCTCAAAGGCTTCATTTTGAAACCTTCGTATGAAGGAATGATAAGACAGAACCATCATCATCAGATGTTATTTCTACTTGCATTAGAATATCATGAAGCAATGATGAGGTCAGTTCATAAGTGTAGTTCAATAGCGTGCCCAGGGAGGAAGAGGGAGGGGAGGGGGGGGGGGGCGTGGGTAACCTCCAGACCCCAATGGAGTTAGGATTGTAGTAACTAAACCGTGTTGTTGTAAACTTTTTTACCAAAATTTATATGGACGAGTTGTTTCCCTTGTCCACCCAAAATCTGGCTTTTGAAGAGTCCCAATACACTTAACGGTTGAGATAATTGTTAAACTAATGTTCCATTCACCATTGATACTGTAAAATAAATCTGCAAATCATGGAACATGACTGGAAACCATAGACTGAGATTACCTCTCGAATTTGCAAGTTTTCTGCATGCTTCTTGTGAATCACAGGTCGTGCACAATGCATTAGCTGAGGTTAAACTGACTGATGCTGCCAGAATGAGAGCTAGCAGTTACAGTGGAGGAATGAGGCGGCGTCTCAGTGTTGCAATAGCTCTTATTGGCGAACCGAAATTGGTTATTCTAGATGAACCGGTGGGTACAAAATGTGTCTACCATTGATTGCTGAGACATTGTCTGATATATGTTTTATTCTGTTCCTCATGACTAACTTCAAAGACAACCGGCATGGATCCAATAACAAGACGACATGTCTGGGATATAATTGAGGGTGCAAAGAAAGGGCGTGCCATCATCTTAACCACTCATTCTATGGAAGAAGCTGATATTTTAAGTGATCGCATAGGCATCATGGCAAAGGGGAGACTTCGTTGCATCGGGACTTCAATAAGGTTGAAGTCAAAATTTGGAACTGGTTTTATTGCTAATGTCAGTTTTTCTGGAGGGACAAGTACTACAGAAGACACTTTGCGTACAGATCAACATCAAGCAGTAAAACACTTCTTCAAAACTGTATGTAAATAAAGGAATCTCGTTTTCTATTGCTGAGGTAAAATGCTTGGTTGTACTTCAGTAATTTTTTTTGCAGCATTTAGATGTGGTCCCTAAGGAAGAAAACAAATCCTTTCTGACCTTTGTAATTCCACATGACAAGGAGAGCCTTTTGATGGTACTGCTTTTATCATTCGAGATTTTATTTATGTTGTTTTATATCCAGGCAAATGAGATTTCTAGAAGTGAATGTTGACATCCCTTTTCCTCCCCTGTACCCTACCCAGGAGTTCTTCACGGAACTCAAAGACCGAGAAGGAGAATTTGGAATATCAGACATCCAACTAGGGCTCACAACACTGGAAGAGGTTTTCCTAAACATTGCTAAGCAGGCCGAATTGGAAAGTGCTGCAGCAGAGGGAAGTTTTGCTACTCTTACATTGAACTCAGGGTCATCTCTACAGGTAAAATTTATTAAAGCTTAGATCTTTTTTCCTGTCAGAACCATACCTTTGTTCCATAACTCCCTTTGTAGAGTCCTAAGACCCACCTGATCCCTACTAAGGCTCTAGGCTTCCATTGCACACCTAAGACACTTGGGCTTTTTAGAAAACTAGAATAGAACATAAAAGATGACCCTAGAGTGCAATGTGGTCAAGTCCATTTACATTTTCATAATAACCGTGCAGATACCGGTGGGGGCAAGATATATTGGGATTCCTGGGACAGAATTTGCCGAAAACCACGGAGGTATTATGGTAATAGTTAACTGGGAACAAGATGATTCTGGTAGATTGTGCATCTCCGGCCACTCAGAGGAGATGCCAATACCTCCTCATATTGAAATGACAGCTTCTCCAATGACCACTTCTGGTTGGGGCTTTAGACAACGGAGACAAATTCGGGGAGTAGTAATCGATCCTGCACAAATGAACTACACAAATGTAAATTGATGAATGACTTTATTATGCTAATCACGCGACGGAAGGTATACAACAACAGTAAACTCAATATAATCCCAACTCCCTTGGTGTTTGTAGGATATACAAGATAATACTCCATACTTCTTTTTCATCTCAATGGTTTGCTATTACTCTCCCATTGTCCATTGTGAGGGTTCCTAGTTCCTATCACATGGTGGTGCCAAACATGTTGAATGAAATAAAATAATTTGGTCAGAATGGTGGATACATTGGCAGTTCGTGTTTCAGATTTTTTAATACACTGTTCCCAGTACTAATCACAGGCCCCTAAAACCCCAATCTATGAGTCTTGGAGAAGGTAAACCTACAATTCCACGGTCTCTTGGGTTTCCACGTAGTTTGTAGACTTCTATTTATGCTGCACAAGGAGTTGTTTCATACAGGCCCCACATCAACCACACCAGGTTCCAAATAGTCTCTAGTTCCTTAAAAGTATGAGCTCCAACATTATTGGGAGGCGAGACGGCAGCAACACAATGGAGCTAGAGGAACCCCCCTCCCCCCACCCACCCACAAACTTGTCATGTGTTTACAGAAGGGAAAGAGGATCATGAACATGAAAGACACCAAAAGAGCAATGGATAGCACTCAACATTGGCGGGGAGAGTTAAGGAACGTCTTTATCAAATTATGAAATCATGATCGAAATCCATAATGAGCATATTTTTAGAAGTCAAATAACTACCAATCCTAGAATTTAGGCATACTATGATACTACCACATGGTGCATAAGTAGCAACTACTCTTAGAATTTAGTCCAACTTTCAAAGTAATTGCTACTTAGTAACTACTCCCTCCGTCCCGAAAAACATGGGAGTTTTGATTTTGAAGATGGATTTAAGGAGAGTATATTTTGGTATTGAATTTCCAAAAATGTCTTTTGATGTGATGAATAAAAGTATGATTTGATGGATAGATTATTAGTAAAAAAGGTATGATGTGATAGGTAGGGTATGAAAAAGTAAGGGGTAAAAGTGACTTTTTAATAGAAATGAGAAGTATTTTTTGGGACGGATGAAAAAAGAAAGGAGAAAGGTTTTCAGGGACGGATGGAGTAACATATAGTCTCTCTATTCTAATTTAAATTGCTCATTCCGGTTTTACGATGTTTGATTGAAATTATTTTTAATTCATTTTATATAAAAATCATTGTGAAATTAAAAAAATTATATATTTAAAAACTATATCTAAAGTTTTATAAAACAAGAAGTGACATGACTATATTATTTTGTCAAATAAGTACTGAAAATGGGTAATGAAAAAGGTTAAACTTTGACCAAATGTATAGTGAACAAACTACTTAAATTGGGACGGAGAGTATAAAACAGAGCATTTGACTCGATAAAATGCACTATAAATATTACTCTCTGTTTTTCAAAATACTTTCTATTTTATTTTTACGTGCAAAACCTTAAGTTTTTAAAACATTTTATTTACAGACAATATCAAAAGTTCAACAAAAAAGGTTGTGACAAAAACATTTTATTTTGTCAAATGACTATGAAAAAAATACACAAATAGGAGTGATCGGGATGCTATGAATAGTACACAAATGATTTTTGAAAATGGAGAAAGTAATAACACCTCGTAAGTATAAAGTCAAAACTTTTGACTTTAAAGTCAATTATACTTATGAGGTGCAATTGACGTAGGTGGGTGATTAGTTTGGGTCGGGACTTGGCGGGGGGTTTATCGGGGGGGTTAGAAGGGGTAGGAATAATCAATTTTATGAACGGAGCTCCGTAGGGGGGCAGTGGCTTCCTGGCCGCTGGAATCCAGTGGTTATGGAACTGGGTTCAAACATCATAGTCTATTAACTAAGTTAAGAGAGTGATTACTACTTAAAAAACTAAAAGTTTTGTTCAATCATTAACTCAATGCAATTTCTTTAAAAGAGTCATTTTTTGCACAGAAAGTGTTTTTTGGGACGGGGCAGTATTGTGTATTTTTTACATGTAGGCTTTTTTACTACTATGTAAGGCATTAGATGCTACCAACTCTCTTAAAGTTAATTGGTGTTAAAATAAGGTACATAGCTTACCCTTATAGTGCATTCAACATACACAAGCACCACGATATTCGATTATAACTTGACCCACATAGCCTCCGTCACGAGATAATTGATGTACACATGACCACCAACAACACTAGAAATTTTGTGGGGGCAGCAGAAATATGAAAGACTGGTAGAAACAAAATAGAAGTATAATGGCAGTGTGGCATAAGAGTACGCATTGGCAGTGTGTTGAAAAATTGATGAAAGTGTAATATATGAGTCCGATAAGTCAATCGTCTGTGATCCGCGATAACACTCTGGTGGCCGGTAGCGACAGATGACAATGTAGCGGTGATAGATGTCAATTACAATATGACTTTGTGGTGAGTCTGGCAGTGTGAACTCTTCTTTTTGTCTTAAAAGACATGAATCCTATTGTGGTATTTTCATAGTTTTTTACTTCTATCTAGGGAGTTCTCCTTTTATTTTATCACACACCTTTTTGGTGTTACATACCATTTTTGTGTTTTTTAATCTTAATTTATAAATATAAATTACGTTTTTGGTTTTTTTTTGGTGTTACTTACCATTTCAACATCTTAATTTATTACATGCCTTTTTAGTTTTACTTACCATTTAAAAATTTTATTTTATCACACATGATAATATAAGGAAATCATTTTATTTATTTCATAGGTACTTACAGTGTGTTTATTATTCATTCTTACCAAATCTATGTATAGGAAAATTATTTTATTTAGAATACGTATGAAGTTAAAATCAAACACGGTCATGTGTTCATTAATTTTTTTATCACACCGTAACATAAATTTAATATACCTTTAATTACATTTTATACACACATTACATCTTAATTTGTAAATACTAATCATGTTTTTGTGTTACTTATCATTTCAACATTTGATTTTATTACACCTTTTTGGTGTTACTTACCATTTATGTGTTTTTAATTACATCTTAATTTATAAATATAAATTACGTTTTAGGTGTTTCTTACCATTTCAATATTGTAATTTATTACACACCTTTTTGGCATTATTTACCACTTCAAAATTTTATTTTATTACACACATTACATTTTAATCATTTTCACTTGTGTTTAATTTATGACACACGGTACCGTATTAAATAAAAAAAAAAATCAATTACCTTTTAATGACGAATTGACATTAAACACTTATCTATTCAAGTTTAGCAATTACCATTTGTGAGTGAAAACCATTTAGGCAGAAAAATTAAATGGGCATTTCCTTTTTTTAAAAAATAAAGTATAGAATAAGAGAGTGATTAGTACTTAAAAAAACTAAGAGATTTGTGCAATCATTAACTCAATGCAATTTCTTTAAAAGAGTCATTTTTAGCCACGACCTTGTGATGTTGACATGTTATTGTTTGACCAAAAGAGTCAAAACAGAAAAGGTCTATGGGGATGGAGGTAGTAGTGTGAATGTTTTACATGTAGGCTTTCCGACTTCTCTTTAAGGCCTTAGATGTTACCAGCTCTTCTAAAATTAATTGGTGTTAGAAAAGGAACATAGCTTAGCCTTATAGTGCATTCAACACACACACGCGCCCACGATATTTGATTGTGACTTGACGCACCTAGCTCTGTCACGAGATAATTTATGTACACATGACCAACAATCTCTAAAACTTCATGGGGGCAAGAGAAATCTCCAATAAAAATAAGCTATGCAAACAATGATCACGAGTTCGATTATCGGCGGCTAGACATGATACCTTCTGGGTTTGGAATGATATGTGTGATATCTTCCCATTTTGGATTTCTTCACAACTGTATGTGTCTCTTCATAAGGTGTTGCATAAGACGCTTTAGCTGGTGCTGCATAAGATGCTTCAGCAAGTTTGAAAGTTTCTAGTTTCTTCCTTTGTGGGATCTCTTGAGCAACTTCTTTTTTTGATCAACAAACAAGTCAAGTGGAATTTTGCTACATTAAGAACCTGAGAGTTTGAGACCAGTCTTGTCTCCATAGAATTTCGAAATATTCACTTGTCCCTCAATACAAGGATGAGGTCGTGAAGAGTAGGTGAACACTATCAAAACCTCAAGTAAGTTATGTATAGATACTTTCCATTGGTACGTTCCTATCACTATGCTACGTTGTCTTCCTGCCCCACCCGTTCGTGCCAGCAGACGACGGACGACCCGAGGATGACCACGAGGCGGAAGTGACAGGGATAAGGGGTGAGGAGCCGGGGACGGCAAAGCGAGACGCCGGCGTTATCGAAAGGTCCCGGCGTGGCATAAGGATTATCTACTCCATTGATTATCTTTTTAATTATTATTATAATTTTAATTATTGTAATAGTGTTTTTTTAGGTGAGCGAAAATATAAGCTTCTTCGAGGGTTTCTTTACGGTTCTTTACCTCGTCGCTTTTTTTGAATCGTCAGCTTAGAAAACGTAGTTAACTAGGATTGGGTTTCTGTTAGGGTTTCTCTCCTTTAAAAAGAGATTCACCCCATGCATAATACGTATGAAATAATAACCCAATTAGACTCTACTTCCTTTCTCCTTAGGCGCACGATTCCTTGTCGGTGAATTCTCTCTTCTCTTCTTCTCTTGATTTCTGGAGCTTGGAGACGCTCGAAGTCTCCTCAATTCGATACTTTATCGTATCAAGGTGCTCTTGTTGAGAGATGACGGACGCTTCATCAACCACGGCCGATCTCGAGGCAAAGGCGGCGAGATGGGGCATGCAGTGCACCAAATGCAAAGGGATTTTGATTTCCGCCTAACTAGAATTGACGCAGCCTTGACTGCCATGCAAACGAATCTCATCGTGCTGCAAGTAGGTGGTGGGGGTCGTATGGGCCGCCATGGGGATAATCACGAGGGACCGAGGAATGGAGGTGCTCCGACGCCCAAGCCGAAACTGGAACCGCCGAAGAGTGACGGATCTGAGCCGTTGCGTTGGCTCTATCAGGTTAAGGAGTATATTTCTTATTACGAGACTCCACCCGAGGAACGCTTGCGATGTGTTACCATGATGTTGGAAGGGCCGGCGGCTGATTAGTTTTGTTGGCGGCGGAACAACAGCATGATCGACGAATGGGAAGACTTTGTGGAGAAATTCAAGCTACGTTTTGATCCTCTCCACTACGTCGATTACCTTGGGAAATTGGCACGGGTACGGCAAGTGGGGGGAGTCATGGACTACCAGGCAGCTTTTGAGAGGGTTCTCACCCACGTGACGGACGTTCCCGAACAACATTTACAGTCCCTGTTCCATGCCGGGCTAAAGAATCACCTGCAACATGAAATCAGTCTCCTTAAACCCACTACCCTCTCAGATTCGTTCGCCCTAGCACGTGAATTGGAGGCGAAGCATAATGCCATAGTGCAATCGGTGGGGAGCTAGAGTGGGTCATGGAATCCTAACGCTAGCCGTGGTTTTTTGCCAGGAGGGCGGGGAACTCAACAGGGGGGGTCTAACTCGACTCCGGGAAAACCATCTATCCTAGGCAGCCCCCCAGCAGGCGATTGGGGTCTTGATCGACGGCGGAAGCACACACAACTTCGTTCATCCGCAAATCGTTGAGAGGTTGGGGATACCGGTTGAGGTGATTTCATCATTCCGGGTTTACGTCGGCAACGGAGACTCCCTATAGTGTGACCGGCAGTGTAAATCAGTTGAGGTGATGCTACAAGGGGTAATGTTTACAGCAGACCTCTATGTGTTACAGATCCACGGCCACGATGCGGTTTTAGGGGTACAGTGGCTCCGTCAATTGGGACGAGTAGCACATGATTATGAGAAGGTGACAATGGAATTCACAAGGCTGGGGCAAGGGGTGACTTTACGAGGAGCGTTACCTATAGCAAAATTAATGACGTTTCACTAACTCCGAACCCTGCACGCAAGCAAAGAAGTCGAGGTTTACGTGGAGCTCATGGCGATTCAAGAGAATAAACCCGACACCCCTGAACCTCCATTGCCGGCAGCGATCACTCAGTTGCTGGACGAATTCGGGGCTGTCTTCGAGGAACCCAAGGGGATGCCGCCTCGCCGAGATGCGGATCACAGGATTTTCTTACAACCGGGAACCAAGCCAGTAAACGTACGGCCCTACAGGTACCCACACTTTCAAAAGACTGAGATCGAAAAACAAGTGAAGCAATTGATGGAGCAAGAGCTCGTCCGGCCGAGTCGTAGCCCATTCTCATCTCCGGTGCTATTGGTTAGAAAGAAGGATGGAACATATCGTATGTGCGTCGATTACCGTGCTTTGAACTCCGCCACCGTCCTAGATCACTTCCCTATACCGACCGCCGACAAGCTATTTGATGAGCTGGGAAAAGCCAACATTTTTTCCTAATTGGATTTGCGTTCCGGGTACCATCAAATCCATATGTTCGACTGGGACATTCATAAAACGGCCTTCCGAACCCACGAAGGCCACTACAAGTTTGTGGTCATGCCTTTCGGACTTACGAACGCCCTGTCAACATTCCAGTCATGTATGAATCGGCTTTTTGCTGTCCATCTCCGTAAGTTCATCATCGTCTTCTTCGACGACATTCTAGTCTACAGTGCCACTATGGAAGATCACCTGCATCACCTCCGGCGCTTGTTCACACTGTTACACGAAAATCAATTCTTCATGAAAAAGACCAAATGCACCTTGTGTACACCGAAGGTAGAATACTTGGGCCACATCGTCGCCAAAGGAGTCCTTCAAGCCAACCCTGCCAAGATCACGACAATGGAGCAGTGGCCGACACCTAAAACAGTGAAGCAATATTGGGGATTTTTGGGTCTGACCGGGTATTACCAGTGATTTGTGCAGCACTACGCCCAACTAGCAGCGCCACTTACTAACCTCCTGCGCAAGGACGCTTTCAAATGGACGGAACAGGCCGGCACAACTTTCGAGAAGTTGAAGCAAACCATGACCACAGCCCCGGTATTACGATTGCCCGACTTTGAAGAAACTTTTGTGGTAGAGACAGATGCTTCCAGAACGGGGATCGGTGCCGTTCTTTTACAACGAGAGCAGCCTATCGCCTACTTTAGTCAGAAGCTCTACCCACAACGGATGGCGGCTTCCACGTACCATAAGGAGTTGTATGCAATAGTGGAATACGTTCAAAAGTGGCGCCAGTATCTACTCGGCCAGGAGTTCCTCATTCGCACCGACCACAAAAGCCTTTGGGAATTGCTATAACAGGTCATCCAAACGCCGGACCAACACTTCTACATTCGGAAGCTTTTGGGGTTTAGATTCTGAATCAAGTACAAGACCGGCGCATCCAACCGGAAGGCAGACGCCCTATCGCGCATCCATGACACCTCCGAGGAAGTGCATACATTATTGACTATCTCGGTGCTGGTGTCCTCGCTCATGGCTGTATTACAGCAAGAAAACCAGGTGCAAAAAGACCTGGTAAACCGCCACCGGGAGCACCAGCGGGGCGAGTTGGCCGAACCATACTCAGTCGTGGATGGATTGTTATATTACGGGAGGCGCTTATGTGTGAGTTCAACTTCGCTGTTGCGGGTACAGTTAATCAAGGAGAATCACGATACAGTCATGGCCAGGCATCCGGGGGTTCAGCGGACCTTCTTCCGATTCACACAAAATTTCTTCTGGCCAAGGATGAGGGCTGAAGTTCGGGGGTATGTTCAGGCGTGTATGGTGTGCCAAACCACGAAGTACTCTACTCAACCTCCTTCGGGGTTACTCCAACCACTACCGATACCCACACAAGTATGGGAGGACATATCCATGGATTTCATCGTCGGCCTACCGAATTCGCGGGGTAACAACGTCGTTTTGGTTGTTGTGGATCGCCCGACCAAAACCATCCACCTGGGGCCTTACCGACAGATTTTGATGCCCCACGCACAGCCCATCTTTTCATCGATATAGTAGTAAAACTTCATGGGTTTCCAAAAACAATCACCTCGGACCGTGACACGGTGTTTTTGAGCAAATTTTGGCAGGAACTTTTGAAATGCAGTGGTACCACGTTGAAGATGAGCACCACATTCCACCACCAGACTGACGGCCAAACAGAGGTAATGAACCGAGGGGTCGAACAGTATTTGCGTGCATACACTCAAGAGAAGCCCACTCGGTGGACGGCGCTACTGCCGTGGGCCAAGTACGCCCTCAACACCCAATTTCATTCCGGCCTGCAAATGACTCCGTTTGAAGCCCTATATGGGCGCCCACCACCGGCATTCGTGCCGTACATTCCTGGCAAGAGCAAGGTTTTGGAGGTGGATAAGGCTTTAACCGAACAGGATCAATTGATTCAACGCTTGCGGGAGCATTTGAGGGAGGCCCAACAGAGGATGGCAACCGCCGCAAACCGTCATCGTCGTGACATGGAGTTTAGTGTGGGCGACTTGGTTTTGTTGAAGCTACAACCGTATCGCCAACACTCGGTGGCCCGACCGAAGACATAGAAGCTTGCTAGAAGGGTCCCGGATCCACCCATTTTTTCATGTGGCTCTCCTGCGGCCTTACTATGGGATGGCGCAGGTGGACAGGCCCCAGTCTCTGCCAAACGAATTGCTCCAGGGCCAGCCCGTGTCCAAGCCCGTGAGGGTGCATGCAAGCCGCCAGATTTTACGTTGAGGAAAGTTTGTTCAGCAGTATTTGGTTGAATGGTCCGACGGTACGCGAGACGATGCAACATGGGAGCCAAGCGAGGTGGTACCGCGATATACACCTTGAGGACAAGGTGTTTGAAAGTTTGTAGTTTCTTCCTTTGTGGGATCTCTTGAGCAACTTCTTTTTTTGATCAACAAACAAGTCAAGTGGAAATTTGCTACATTAAGAACCTGAGAGTTTGAGACCAGTCTTGTCTCCATAGAATTTCGAAATATTCACTTGTCCCTCAATACAAGGATGAGGTCGTGAAGAGTAGGTGAACACTATCAAAACCTCAAGTAAGTTATGTATAGATACTTTCCATTGGTACGTTCCTATCACTATGCTACGTTGTCTTCCTGCCCCACCCGTTCGTGCCAGCAGACGACGGACGACCCGAGGATGACCACGAGGCGGAAGTGACAGGGATAAGGGGTGAGGAGCCGGGGACGAGCAAAGCGAGACGCCGGCGTTATCGAAAGGTCCCGGCGTGGCATAAGGATTATCTACTCCATTGATTATCTTTTTAATTATTATTATAATTTTAATTATTGTAATAGTGTTTTTTTAGGTGAGCGAAAATATAAGCTTCTTCGAATGTTTCTTTACGGTTCTTTACCTCGTCGCTTTTTTTGAATCGTCAGCTTAGAAAACGTAGTTAACTAGGATTGGGTTTCTGTTAGGGTTTCTCTCCTTTAAAAAGAGATTCACCCCATGCATAATACGTATGAAATAATAACCCAATTAAACTCTACTTCCTTTTTCCTTAGGCGCACGGTTTGTAACACCCCAACCCGCGTAACCCGAATAAATAGGTTAGCGAACCGAGTTGCTACTAAATTGGTATCCACATACAATATTTTCCAATAAATTAAAACATTTAATTTAAACTCAACAACTAAAAATAATTTAAATACATATCGGAGTTTATACAAACAGTGCGGAAGCCTTATAATTAAATCAAACATTAAATCCCTGCATCCGTACATCTCCTTCGTCATGCTGCTCTCCAGGATGGATTCCAGAATCAATCTACCACAAACATCTACGTGTAGCAAATAGGAAAAATGGGCTACACGCTCAGCATTGAAGCTAAGTGAGAAATATCTAACAGTTCGAACATACACATAGGCGAATCCACTAATTCATAATTATCACATGATATCATGCACACAACATGCTTGGCAACAATCATACGACATCCAAGATATAACATGCATAACCAATGTCATAACAATTCATAGGATACAAACAGCATCGGTATATGTATTAGGAACTTTCCTTTTTAGTTTACTTTACTTTCCTTATCGTACTTGGCTCTTAACCTATGCTAGGTTAAAGCTTAACTGAATTCGACTTGATTATGGAGTCATGACCTTCCCCTTCGGAACAAAGGCCAAGCTCAAACCAACTCGGGAGTTTCTCGTTGGGTGGGTGAGATCCGTGTCCCCTTCGGAACGACAGTTCTTAGATCCACGTGTACACGTTTTTACCCGAACAATCATTGGACCCAGCAGGTACCACATGGCTTTAACTAACTATACTTATGGCATACCTTGCCACTAATCATCCATTCAGGTCATTTCCTAGAATTCTTCTAGGTGATATATCCAATATTCATTAATCAGTACATAATACAACATTCATAAATCCACAATGTATTTAACAAGATATCTAACATACTCAGATAGCGGCCTAACATTGGGTGTAAACACCCATGCTCACCGTCATGCAACACACGGAGTCTCAGAATCAATCCTTGACGAAAACACAGATTGATAGACCCGGCCTCAGGTACCAGACGGTACCTGTCACGGTACGAGGTAACGCCCTTACGGTACCTGGGTACCGGTCCTACGGTACCAGGGGTACCGTCTGAATCAATGAACTCTTTCGGTAGGACTGCTGCGGTAGCCAACTACCGACCAGGCGGTAGGGCCTACCGTCCGTCCGGTACCTAGGTACCGTACGGTTGCAGCTACTGACAGAGGTAGAAGAACCCAACAGAGTGTGACGGTAGCACGGTACCATCCTGGCGGTACCGCCTACCGTCTGATGCAACCAATCCCATATTCATACCTGTTCCGTTTTTCGGCATCAAACCAACAGCAATCTCATAATCAACAAACACCAATAGGTTCATATTAACATTCTAAACGTTATCAAACACATTAATTCATCAATCAAGCCCTAAATCATGCATACTACCCTTTTTATTCAACGATAACCATTCACAATCAACAATTATACAGATAAATCACACAGATCAACCACAATAACAATTATGAACGAAATTTCAAACCTAGATGCATATTCTAGTGTTAGATGTCCATGTACTCACCTTGATTTGTTTCGATCTGATTAAAGAGAACTTTACTCGAACGGGGCATAGACGGAGTCACTCGCACCCTACTGCTCAGTTTGGTACCACTGCCCGAACGATGCACGGCTGCCATCGTCCCTATTCGGTCCCTCCCAGCTGTTGTCCAGTGTCAATATCAATGCCCGAACTTTGTCTTTGCGGCCCGGACACCATCGCCATTGACCGAGCCCTAATTGTCACTGCCTGGAGTCACTTGAAGCCCTGCCACTGTTTCCCGGACATCACCACTGGAAAGGGTCTGCCATCAGAGTCTGCAGGGTCGCCGAAACAGAGGGAGAGAGAGGTTGCCGGAGGGGACTGCCTGCGCCGGTCGCTGGAGGTCAATCGTCGGAGCACCGCCGCCGTTGAATCGCTGGAATTCGCCGACGGCTCAAGCTGCTACCTGAGTCACCTAGGTCGTCGCTGGAAGGGGCCTTCCGATCGCTGGCGCTGCTGCTCGCCTGAGAAGAAGATGCAGAGGAGGAAGAGGAATTGTTTGCCGCTACGCCGCTGCCCAGCTCGATCGAAGAAGAGAGGAGGAACAGGGGTGCGGCGTGTTTCGATCGGAGAAGGAGGATGCGGTTGACGTTTGTGAATCGGGATCTAGCTAGAAACGGAATATATATAGGACCATGCTATAGGATCTACACTTACACCAGAAAATATACCGCATTTGTACACCACAGGCTTGCACAAACATTTCGATGGTTTACACCGACACAAGTGTTGGTGCGTTAATAAATATTCACACGGACACAAATGTTGGTGCGTTTAACAAAAATTAGTTTTACACCAACACAAAGTGTTGGTGCAAAACTGCGGGGTACAAATTGGAGTACAAACCTTGGGGTACACATAGCATAATCCATATATATATTCTTAAGGGTTTGTGCGTTGAGTGAAAACACACTTTTCGGGTCAACTTGCTCCGAATTGAAATCTGTTTGTGTCGTTGTATTCGATTCGTCGATCCCTACCCAATGATATAACTTTTATAATCATTCAACAAGTATTTACCGGTTCCACCGAATCTGTCTTAATTCTTTCATTTAATTAGCACTGATCCGTCTTTTGATTTAAATCTTTACAAATATAATCAGATTAGTTTTGTTATATTGAGACGATTAGAATTTCTAAAATATCTTTTAATTCTTTAAAAGAATAGATTATCGTAAATAAATAATTCTTATTTATTTAATTATTGGTTAACTTCTAGGCCGGTTTCTAGGGCGTTACACGGTTCCTTGCCAGCGAATTCTCTCTTCTCTTCTTCTCTTGATTTCTGGAGCTTGGAGACGCTCAAAGTCTCCTCAATTCGATACTTTATCGTATCAGATAGACAACGAAATACAAAAATTTTAACATCTTAACATGATTATCTTGCCCAGAATCACGTACTAAAACATATAGTAGTAAGAAATTTATACCTTTATCTGTAAGTGGTAAAAATTGAAGTCGTAGGAAGAGCGTTGAAAGTGCAAACGTAACCGTTCAAGTATCCGGTTTCCAACTTTGACACACGAACAACGCCGGAGTCTACCACAATCTTTATGCTAGTAAAGATTATAGTAGGTAAAATATAAAGATTAAAATTTGGAATAATAATAATCTTGTATATTTCTATAGAAAATATTTCTAATAATATTTAGAAAATATTGTAGATATTTTCTATACACAAAATGATATTAATGGAACACAAAATATTTTCTCTCACTAGAAAATGCAATGGCCGAAAATCACCATCCACCTATTGATAATCTTCACACACCCTTTTATTTCAATTGTGCCGTGGATCAATTAAAAAGAAAACAAAACATTACAAAGTGATAAATCCACCTATTGATAATCAAACTTTATTCCATAACCTTTTTTCTGCAGAGTCTACTGCTACTAATAGAGATATTATCCTTAAGCTGGATATGGCCAAAGCTTATGATAGGGTCTCCTGGTACTTCATGAATAAAATCCAAAGGCAGTTGTGGTGCAGTGACAAGTGGATTGTTTTTAGACTCTTGTCTAATAACTGGTACTCAGTTATAATCAATGGAGCTAGAGAAGGCTTTTTTTACATCTAGTAGGGGCTTGAGGTAGGGGGATCCTTTGTCTCCTAGTTTGTTTATCATTGGAGCTGAGCTCATCTCTCAAATGCTAAACCTGAGAATCCAGCAACAGGCTTCTTGTCTCTTCTCTCAATCTAAAGGGATCCCTCCTTTGAATCATTTAGCCTTTGCTGATGATATGATCATCTTCACCTCTGGAAAAGGTAAAACTATACAACTCATTATGCAGGACCTTCACACTTATGAGCAGGTTTCTGGACAACTGATAAGTGTGCATAAGAGTTCCTTTTACATGCACCCCCACACTTCTGTGGCTTCTATAAAGAGAGTTCATGATATTACTCAATTTGTTCACAAATCCTTCCCTTTAGTATCTGGGTTGTCCTATATATAGAGGAAGGATGAGAAATTACTACTTTACCCCCTTACTTCATAAAGTAGGTCAAAGGTGTCAAAGCTGGCAAGGGAAACTTTTGTCTTATGGAGGGAAACACGTTTTGATTATAAGTGTTTTGCAAGCTATACCAGCTCATTTATTCTCTGCTATCTCCTCCGCGATGGGAGTTCTTCACAAATTGGAACAACACTTTGCTAATTTCTATTGGGGGAGTCAGGATAACAGGCAGAAATACCACTAGAGCTCCTGGGCACACATTAGTCATCCTACCTGTGAAGGGGGTCTGGGTTTTTCTTCCATGAAAGCATTGGTAGATGCTAATAGTGCTAAACTGTGGTGGAACTTTAGAACTATATCTTCCCAATGGGGGGAGTTTCTAAAGGCTAAATATTGTCCTCGGGTACATCCTGTTGTTAAAAAATGGCAATATGGAGATTCACATGTGTGGAAGAGAATGACCTCTATTAGGTCACAAATTGAACCCTTTATTGGTTAGAGAATGTAACGCCCCAAAATATACCCTAGAATTATTAATGAATAATTATTCAATTAATCAAATTTGTTTTGATTAAAATAAATTGTTGTTGGGCTTTGGGCCGAAATAAAACATATATTGATATCCAATATCACAATCTGGATAAATCTCATAGAGATAAATCCAATATGTTGACTTACTGTATGATCTTAATTTGGGAAACCAGAGTATAGACCCAAATTAGGGATTTGTTTATAATGTGAACTTTGAAATGATTTATTGAAATAAATCATGAAAATAAATAACATGAATTAAATATATGAATTTTATTGAACAAAGGTCAATTAAATGAATTTTGACTCTGTCAAAGTCAACCACCCAAAAATATGATGTCAGAAAAAGTATTACAAATAAATATGAAAATTATATCATTATGTAGAGTTTGACTGTCT